CGCACCCTAGAACGGCCCGTTCTGAAAATGGAACGGCCCGTTCCATAGTAGAAATTAACACATATTTGTCCTTTCCAGAACGGCCCGTTCCAAATTTAACTTGTTTGGAACGGCCCGTTCCGGTATTGGATTTTTAGTTGTTTTAGTCACGTTGGAACGACCCGTTCTGATATTGGAACGTCTCGTTCCGAGGTTCGGAACGACCCGTTCCGATTCTGGAATACCCCGTTCCGGGCTACTAAAACAACCTTATTTGACCTTTAGGCCTTCTGATATCCTGTCTTGTTGTTTGCCTGCTTCGGGAGCTCCTTTCCTTCATGATGTAGGTCCATTTTCTTGTTTGTGTGCCTCCCGGACGAAATTGGGTGTCTACAATCCTTTTTGGGTTTTCGAGCCTTTTGATGTCATCCTGGTCCATTCTAATGACACATTGGTCCGTTCTAACGTCATATTCGAGCTTTTGGGAACTCCTTTGTCTCGTATTAAAGACCCATTTCCTTGTTTGTATGTCCCAGACAAAATTAGGTGTCTACAACTAGATCAATAGCAAAATGGATATTAATTCGCAACACAACAACTTGATTTCTCAGATGTCGCCATTTAATCAGAGAAGTCTAGTACTATTGTCTGGGTAAAACAAATTGTACGAGTCTATCACAACATTAGTTAACTTAACTAAACCTCCTATAAGATTAGCTCATCGACTAGCCTCCAAATACTATATCCTTTCGATACTCGATTAGGAACTTAGTTCCTGACTTGTACTTTACTTGTTTGGTCACTTATAATTAATATAGCTTGACTTAACCCCTATACTATGGTCGCTTTATACACGTGTGACTTGACCTTGACCACACATGGTACTAACTAAGTCCTAGAGAAAATTTAATATGGTTATGCACTTTAAGTGTTAACTTCTCAAAAAGGTTTTTTCAATAAATTGGACTCTTAGAGTACTACAACACAATATCCACTTAATGAGATATGCAACTTTAAAAACTTCTTCTCTAATCTTAGGTTGGTCATCACAATGCAACAACACAGGCCTAAATGCATAAAGCATTATCAATATTCATCATCTCAACAACACAACGTCAACATATAGCAATTTCAACATAGCTACACAACCACACAACCTATAACTCATCTCAACTTTCAGCTAACATTTCACAACACAATCATCACATACAACACCATCCTTGCAACTTATTCATCCCCATTTAGTCATCAAATAACTCAATCGACAAGTATTCAAAAATTTATCAAATCAAATAACATGTTTTTCTTTAGCAATCAACACCCAACACCACACATCCAGCTCCTGATGCAACACATGCAGTGCCCGGTTCCATCTAGGCAAGGAACTCTCTACCTCGTTCATGCTCAATTTTACACAACCCACGTCTAGCGTGGATAAGGCAAAGGCCCTTAAGACCTTGCATCTGGTGTGGAAAAATCCCACACCTGATCTCATCTTAGGTAAAGAGTTTCTTCCTGATTCACACCCGACGTCATCCATATAGAGAGCTTTGGTTTGGCCATGCTGGACGCTACTTAACCTTGGGTTTGACATCACCAAGTTAGAGACCTCTTAATTTTATCACGCTTGATGAGATTCAAATTGCATCCTATGTCAATCCAACCTGAGATAAATCTCTCTCCTCATGTCCGACATCATTGATCCTATGCTCGTCGTGATTGAGACAAAGAACCTCATGTTGAAACGACACTTGAACCCTTGAAGGTGCACCTGACGCAATGTGAGTTCTGCACTTATGCAAATCACAAAAATTGGCTATGCCATTTGAACTCAGCCAATACCACACATGCAACACAAAATAATGATCCTACTCAACACAAGCAACAAAAATCCAGCTTAAAAATCAACATGCAATAATCAATTTGCATCAAATCAACATATTTCATTCACAACTCGAAACCCCAATTTCTAACATGCTTTCCACTTCGAATTTCCCGACATAGCCACAAATCTTTGAAATTTCACACAATGTACAACTCAAGAATCATTCACTAGCTAGTAACTTATCCAAAACACAATAAATTCAACTTCCCTTACCTTAGAAATCTCCTGGCCAAGAAGAAGAGAAGAAAGAAGAAAACAACTCCGAGCGGACGAACAAACTTGATTCAAGGTTCCTATTGACCTGAATCAACAAACAACACTACTTAGAATGAAGGAAGCAAAGAGGGGGGATTTAGAGTTGAAGGAAACTTACGGACTAAAGTCGTTCTCTCTAGATCTTCCTCTTTCTATAACTTCTAAAAACTTGAATAATAATCCAAAAATGAATTTTGAGAGATGAAGGAAAAACAATTAAAACACGACATGGGAGAAGGGAGCGTGTTCCTCCTATTCTTTGTGTACAAGTGAGCGTGTTCCTCCTATTCTTTTTCTTTCCTTTTTCTCTTCTTTCTAAAATGAAAATGTGAGGTGTGGGAGTAAATAAGGGTGTATGTAAGTCTTAGAGAGTTCTAAGCCCTTAAGTGAGTCTTTTCTCATCTATAATTTATCTTTAGTCCACTACTTTTACTTGACACAGAACAAATTATTATACTATATAAAACACTCATAAAACAAGCACAAAATGTGTATTTTATTTATTTATCTAATTAACCCTTGTTAATATAATTTTGAGATTTTACGGCTTTCTTCTAACCACTATTGTACTTAACTCAAACATTGCTACAACACAAAGAAACTCCGATGTCACGTAATCAGCCCCTTTTGAAATCCTAATCTATTATGCCAATGGTTTATTTGTAATGATAGATGCAAATTAGTAGTGGAAAAAAAAGTTTAAAGTTTGAATTGAAGAAAAAAGGGATGGAAATAAAATTTTGATTTTTTATTTTGTTTTTAGAAGTCAACCTTTCTGTCTGTTGTCTCTAGCTTTCTCCCTGACTAAAATACATCATTATCCTTTTTTTTTCCTCTCTATTTAGCTTTTCTTTCATCCAAAAAATACCATAAGTATTGTTCAAACTATAGAACATGGTTTTTCTAAGAAAAATACGATAATGTGCTGAGAGGAATAAGTGACATCATGATAGGGATGAGATAAGTAGTGATTTACAACGTAAAGAGTATTTTTGAAAAAAAAAATCGAAAAAAGAAATGGGTGTTGTTTCCGCAAAAAACGAGCGGTGAAAAAAGTAATTTCTAAAATGAATGAAAGTTAATAAAATTTAATCAATCCAATTTTTAGTGCTTGTTAATTTTTCTATTCTTCTAAATAGAGGAATATGTGATGGAATTGGTGAGTTGTTTTTTTTTATATTTAATTATACTCTTATAATCTTTTCCTTTTTTTTCTTTCACCCAGACACAATTCGCTTGTCCTTGCAACATAATAGGAATTCAAACAACTCCTAATGAATAAAATAAACCACTTAAAATAATAACTTTTGGTATTAAAATTTATTATTTATGCATATAATATTTTTTTTATCATCATTAAAATTAGAGTAAAATATATTTTTATCCTTCTAAAATTTTTTAGATCCGTTTTTAGGCTCTCTAATTTTTTTACCCTATTTTAGTCACTCTATTTAAAAATACACTACTTTTTTTTTTATCTTTAAAGTAATTTAAATAGTATTTTATAATATTTTAAACTACCATCTAAAGTAGTTGAAAAACTAAAAATTATACATTTCAAATTTGAGGGACTAAAATAGAATGAAAAAAAAAAAACACTTAAAATGAATTTAAATAATTTTAGAGATTATAAACACGTTTTACTGATCTTAATATTATAATACAATACAATATTTGAATCCTCTAAAGTGGGTAATGAAATAAATATTCTTGATCATTAAAGAGAAAATAAGTTATTTATATTATTTACACATGCACTGACAAATATGAATAACAAAGGTTTATACAACTCTAGTGATTAAAACGTTTTACAATATTATGACCAATGCACTAACAAGTATGCATGATCAAGGTTGCACCATATATACATTCTTCCATAGTTTTTTCAAAGAATTTGTAATTTACTTCTCCTAATTGAATATTAGTCCAGTCGCCGTCATAAAAGGAAATAAAGAACTATCTTTTATAATATTATTTTAATTTTTAGTTGAAAATGAAATGTTACAATACAAATATGCCTCAATAACTTGTAGGCTTAAATTTATTTTTATCCCTAAATTTTTGCAAATATATAGTTTTGATTCCTAAATTTTTTTATATTACAAATTTGATATATTTAATATTTAAAATTAAGCAATATTGATTCACCATGAACATATACTTCTAAGATTAAATAAAAAATGATGACATAGAATGGAAATGACACTACTTGACAATTGCTTAACCACATTAACTTCTATGCATATAAGGAATAACATTATTATTTTTAATTACATATGTGCTATCTTGTTTTTATATATCAATGAAAACTCTTAATCTAGTAAAACAATTTTAGTCTTATTTTATAATAATATTTCTTTTATCATAATTAACTAATTATCAGATAGTATCACTCATATTCTACATATTCTCTGTTTAATTTTGTACTATATGTTAATAGTCGACTAATATTACTTTTTAGAAACCTATAAAGATCAAATTTATAATAAAAATTTAAGAAAGAAAACTATATATTTAAAAGATCATAGAAATTAAATATGATTTTAATCTCGTGATATATGTTTAGTTATGTAAAAGGACACAAAGTGCAACACAACTAATAAATTATATAACACTGATTATATATATCATTAAAAAAAGGATATGCACCGTAAAACCTATCTTTCACAAAATACGAAAATTTGTTAATTTTGATAATAAGTTATACTAAAAAAATGTGTAATTGATTAACAGAAGAATAACTCTTACACCAATAGTATAATTTATTAAATCGTGTTATATTCCGTTGAATCAAACTAAAACAATGAGCCAAGTTGAGATAATTGCTAGGAGTTGGACTCAATCAATCTTTATTGTAGTAGTATACAATAGGAAAAAGAAATTAAAACAAGGGATACACGGGATCCTTATTTGGATAGAAGACTCCAAAGTTGTTCTCAATTCCAGGTGCCTTGAGATTTTCATTGAACGTTTCAAAAATAAAAACATTCAAACCTTGGCCAAGTCTCCTTGGTGTCCCTTTCCCTGATTTCACATGAGCGATCAAGTTTTTGTTGTAATCCGCAGCGTTTTGTATGGTTGTGTAGGGCTCATTACCCGCAGTGGGCCAACCAGTTTCGGTGACAGTGAGAGTTATATTGGACACACCAATCTTCTCAAACGCAGCATGATAAGCATCAAGCTGTGCATCAAACAAATTATAGTACTGGAAGCTTCCATCAGTAACCACAGGACTTTTTGACTTAAACAATGCATAGTCTAGAGAAATGTGTTGCGGGTCAGAGGCATAAGCATAGTAAGGGTACGTGTTGATATTAATGGGTGAACCATGTTGCAACAAAATGGCTACAATCTCTTTGATAACGCTTGCTGTGTCAGCGCTGAATGCTCCTGCTGAAGGTGGAAAAGAAGATGCTAAGACATTATCCTTTAGAATTGCGGACACCTTTATGTCTTTGTGTATGCCAGCCTTAGTGAGTGCGTTTATCATATTTTTTATAGCATTTGGAACGTATGGTGATATAGGACCTGGTGTGACCTCGTTACCCAAGTTTATGTACCCGATATTGACGTTGTACAAGTATGGAACGACGTTGGTTTGGACCCATGCGTTGGCTGCGTCTATGTCTTGTGCTATGTTTGGTACGTCTTCGTCTCGTGTTCCAATAGCTACCACCAAAGTTGAACCTCGAAGGGCTTCCAGAAGTTCGTGGTTTGGCTCGAAGATTCGGAGGGATCGTATCTTGTATTTCTCGTACAGTGCCACGATTTCTTTTGCCGAAGGAAGGTTGTTCCCTTTCAACCCAAGATTCACACCGATTGATTGAGCACCTGCAATAATTCACGAATACCACAAACAAAGCCTCAGCAAAATATTGAAATTTTTTTAGCATCTTATTAGAATAAAGTATTATATGTTAATTGATGAATAATCTCTATAGAAATAGAATTATAAGATAAGAGTTTAGAGTTTAGTTATTTTTTACTTATATATATTCTTTAATTTTTAGTCGACATGAGATTTAAGTTTTCTCATAAATAAATGATAGATGATTTGATACGATCTTAAAATAATAAGTTATGAGTCTAATTCAATCTTATAAAATCAATTTATAAAGTGAGAGTTGTCATCTACTTATATACTTTTTATTTATTTTATCTTTAATCAATGTGCGATTTAAATTTTTCTCAATAAAATGAATTAAAAGTTACTCTTATCTTTTTATCAATCATTTTCAATAATTATTTTTATAAATATATTTATTAGTTATTAATATTTTTATTAAATAATAAATTTATAGAAACATTTATTTTATTAACATTATGTTAATAGTAAATTTTGGTGTAGTGTAAATATATTTTTAATGTATTATTAATTAATCATTAATATTTTTATTATAATAAAATAGAGGTAATTAGTTTATAGTTATTAAATAATTATTACTTATAGTAAATTTTAGTGTAATGTAAGAAAATAAAATGTAATTTTACTCAAACTAATGACTTATTAATTATACATTGTATGGTATAGAGATCAAGGCATTTCAAAAGTACTTATTGTCAAAGTTATTCCACTCGATAATATTTTGTAAATATTAAATTTCAAGTTGAATATTTTGTTATCATCTTAATAATTTTTAATATCAAATTTTAGAAAAATTAGACATTTATAAACAAAGAATCTCAATTTTTCCTCTTTTTTTTTTTTTAACAAAATACATTACACGTTAATTTAAATTTATTTAAAGAAGTGTGAAATGAATTTCGAACTTAATTTATAAAAATTGTAAACTTTACATTAGGAGTTGTTAAGTGATAACTCATTTTGTCCCATGAAACGTAATTTGAATATATGTAAAAAGTAATCTAACCGTAAATTTACATTACAACACGTGTATTTTTATTATATAAAAAAAGTGCTAGGAATGATTTTTTAACCTCAAAACAAACCGGAGGGAATAAAGTTGTGTCTAATTTAGTCACATCTTATGATCTAAACTTGATTTCTTGGATTAATAAAACAATTAGTTTTATAAAATAAAATAAATAAATAAATAAAAAGGCATCGTAGTAAACGAAATCATCATAGACATAAAATTGTGTGCAACTTACTTGTAAGGGGGAATATTTGGATTAGTAAAATCGTTGTCATAGCAAACAACGTTCTTCCGCACTTGGAGTCCATGTTTACCAACTTTTAATTTTATGATCGAAAGAAAGAGATAAAATTAAAAATAAAGAATGATAATTAGATGTTTGGACAGTTTATGTGTCCAACAAGTATCGCTCTTATAAATTTAAGTATGATAATATGTTGGTGATTCACTCTTATATACATTGCTTGAGTTGAGGATATAACATTTCTCTATACCTATAAAGAAAGTGGGCATCTAGTTTGTGAGATTAAATGTGGTTTTCGGAAAATAAAATAATTTTTTAAAAATTAAATCTTCCTTCAAAAAATTGATTTACTTTTTATTTTTTTCTCCTTTTGTTCGCATATTCATTCGTTTAGGATGTTTGAAAATGGGAGAAATTTTCACTTTAACTATAAATCGACAAAAACCATAGGTAGAAAAATATTTCTTCAGATTTTATTTTTTTCATGCGATTCCTTTGCAGATTCTTTTTAAAAACTAATAAATTTATATTAGTATACAGCTTCATGCAAAAATAAAGTCAATCATTAACCCTTTTAAAAAAATTATTATAAAAAATTCATTTCAATTTTAACATAAGTATGTATAGAAAAATATAAAATATAAGGAATGTCGGATTTGATCATAGGTCCTAATTTGTAGAAATTAAAAAAAAAATTGTTTCACAAAATGGTAAATAGAAAATGACACTCCTATAATTATCAAGTAGAGAGTTAATGGTACGTTAAAAATTCACATAATAAACAATATTGTCTACTTAATAGTTAGTCAAAACTGGTGGTCAATTTGACTTAGGAATTTACTTGGAAACTAAGGATCAACAAAAATTCACTAAAATAAGTTCGCCTTTGATGTCAAGGGATATATGTCCACCAAAATAACATTTTATGGTTACAGAAAGTGTCAAATTCATGTTACAAAAAATACAAGTTCGAACCAAATAACAAGATAACGTTATTTACCATATTTAAATAATTGAATTTAATTTTGACTTATTTTTTTTCACATTTTCATGATTTATTCATCTTATCTTATCTTACTTGCAAACAACTTCACCATAAATTCTTCATGTATTAATTTTTCTTGTTTTATATAATTCCTTTTGATAAATCTTAATATTGTTTCCCTAAGAGATTTTCTAAAAGAATATTAATTATAAAAAAAATTTAAACTATAATAACATAATAAAATATTAATTCTGAGTAATTTTAAAATAGAAATAATAATATAATTATGCTAATTTATTTTACAAAATTCTCGTAAAGAATCATGTATAGGAAATGGTAACAAAAATCCATGTAAACTTTTTTTTTTATGTAATATAAATAAGAAAAGATATGCTATTTTTTTTACACCAACAAAATCAGATTCTTTCAATTAAAATAATATTCTATATATAATAAGAAATTTCATTATGAATATTCTCAAAATCAAACAAAATAAAATTTCTAGTTAAAGAATATGCTATCAAATTACTTCCTTTTCTACTCTATTGAATAACAATAATAAAAGGAGAATATCTCAAAATCTCTCTAATTTGATTAAGAATCATATCACACTCAAAAATATCTTCCTCATTACTACAAATCTGATTCACTATCAATTTGCAATCTGATTCAATAATCACATTATGAAATTATGCTAAATATTTTTTTTCACAAAATCCACGTAAAAAAAATATTTAACGTGTAAGAAATTATAATAGAAATTTATATAAAAAAATTAATCATAGGAAATTGAAATTATAACAACATAATAAAACTATAGTTTTATTAATTAATTAAAATAGATTTAATGTTGTCTTAAAAAGACATGTATGACTAGCACTATTTTGTCCATTGTGCAATTTTATCTATTTGGGAGTATTTGATTCTTTTTTCTTTCAAGAGGGTTTGATTCTACATGGTAAAATTTATGATGTTTTTGGTCAATTTTATGATGTAGTAATCTAATTTTGTCTAAAAAAATGCTAAAATTTAAAATAAAAAAGTAAAAAGAGATAAAATAAAAAAATAAAATAATATGAATGAAAACATAATTAGAAGAGACAAAATAACTAATGAGATATATGTACACTGTTGTCTACATAAATAGTTTAGAAAAAAGATAGAAAATTTTGAAGTTTTTATGTTCAACATCATAGGTTCACAATGTCATATATTTCGTTATAATTAATCATTTAAGAAATTCTTTGCAATGTTGAAAAATTTGACAATAGATCCACAAATTTTGTTTATAGTACGAAAACCAAAATTTATCTCCATCATGATGAAAAGGTCCAAAGTAGGTGATCTGTTAAGAAATGTTCAAGTCTCATTTGTTGGAAAAAAAATATTATGTGACTCATATAATTTGTGTTTAATTTAATTACCTTTTAATCTAACTAATTACTTGATTATAAGGAGTTGTTCTAGAATAATAAGATATTATAAGAGTCATAATTTGCTTATTTTATTGGTCCTTAATGAGAAACAAATACAGGACTATTATCATATTATGATAATAAGGCATATGATCCTTAGTCTTACCTATAAAAATGTTTTGTAATGTTTCATACTTTCATTATTTAATAAGTTTAAAGAAAAACAAAGACTAGAAGACTTTTCTCTATTTATCTAAATATCTAAATATTGTTACAAAGTTTGATAGCAACGATTACAAGAGATACATTTTCGTTGTTGTAAGTTATACACTAAAGTTTTAATTTTTCTTACATTTGGTATCAAAGCCTACTTTGCTATTTAACTTATTTTTGTTTAGTTATTAATTTCAATTTCAAATAATGAGTATAATATATTTTTTTTCTATTGAATTTTTATTACTCGTTAATTGCTATTAATGTGATTTTTATATTATTATCTACATTTTATAATTTTTTTAATATCTTAATATAGATAAAGTACTAAAATCACAATTGTTAGATTATAGCTAAGGAGTAAGTGATATAATTCAAAGATGGTTATTATCACAATATTGATTGGTTGTTGATGTTGTGCGATTGATCAATTTATAATTGTGTTGTAATTGTTAAATATAATATTATTTTGATCGTAATATGACAACATGATCGGAATGGTTTTGAAGATTTTAGCAAGTGATCAAATTCTCTTATTTAATGATGGTAGTATTAGGTTTTGCAATTGAAAAACATTAGTGATGATTAATAGAAAATCATATATATACGAAAGATTTTGCAATAGACTTAATTGCTATAGTTAATTATTATTAGTAGTAGGAATTTATTCCCTTTGGGTTAAATTGTTAATTGCATTATATTACTAGTAATTATCACCACGTAATTTGCAACTCAAATGAATGCATGTTTGTTGCCAAATGGTGTATGTCTCAAATCTTGATGATTGTAAAAAAACATAAAATTTCTAAAATTATAGTAGCTTTCTATTTTTGAGAACTTAAATATATACATAAAGAATTAGACGTAATATTGTGATTGATTATATTAAATATAATAAGTTTTATCTTACATGAATTATTGTTGAGTGTTGTCGGGGCTACTCGAGAGCTATATTACTCGAAAGTTACACTTTTGAAGCTACTCGAAATCAAACATAAATAAACAATAGCTATCAAGAAAGTATTAGAAGCCCTAAATATGCAAACTCGAGGATTTGTCGAAAAACGTAAGAGGTGGAAGGTTCTCTAAGCAGTTAAGTAGTTACACTAAGGTAGTTACCAAGACTTGGTCAAAGAAACAAAAAACATGGGAGAGAAAGTTATGAGAGGTTACATGGATTCCACGAAATCAGCATAGTGGTCAGCGGTTACACACCCACGACGCATCGATACAAAATTAACTGTTGTCAAGTAAAATCTATAAATATGGGAATCATACCTCTCAAAAGGGGTCAGAAAAATCATACTTGAACTCTCTCAAGCACTCATCGCCTGCGCATATGGCTTTCGTGCATGGAACTGCTGGGTATGACCATTTCTTGGCCACCCTTTCTTTCTTTTTCTAGGATTAGTGGTGTTTCTTTTAATTAGTGTAGTATCTTCTTTTAATTCTGTAGTGGTAAGTTGTTAATTGTAACATTGTAATTTGATCATTATGCAAATTGAGCGATGATTTGTGTTGCCAATGTATGTATTATTCATTCTGTTTGCTTAAGTATTTATATGCATGCCAATTATTGTCTAATCATCATTCATAAAGATCTGGAAATCAACTTTTATTAATCAGTTTTGTCTCGTTTCCTTCCATTCCTAATTACACCAACACTGTAAAATACCTAACTTGAAACAATGTTGTGCTAGTTCGAATAAAAAGGACTCAAACGAATTCCACCACAAACAAATTGGCACGCCCGGTGAGACTCGTTTAATTGAAAAGCATAATTGAACTAGTGTTAGGTATACATGTTGTATGAGACTTAGGAGTGGAAGAACCATGTCTACGTCTAATAATAGGAGAGAAATGAACAATGACACTCAAGTAGATGTAGAACACGTAAATCCAAACCCAGAAAATGTGACTACTGTGACAAGGGGGGCAACATCACCCCCTGTTGTACTAAAAAATGTGGCTAGGCAAACCAACGTTTCCCAAGAATTCGCGAATGCCACTAGAGAATATCCATGGGGCATGCCACAGAATTGGCGAAATACCCAACCTGTACATGTCGAAATGCCAGTGCCCTATTTAGGACCAAATTCACAAATGCACGTATCCCCACAGGGATATAATCCCGGACCAAATGGTTTGGGTTTTGTTATGCAAGACTCGTATCAACACGTAGGGACAAGTCACGAAGGGTCTTTGGTTCGACAGAGTAGTTATGTCCCCACAGGTATTAGTAATCAAGCCATGATGGCCCTTCGACAACAAATGGACCATAGTAATCATGACATGGTTAATTTGTTGTCAACTCAGATGCACAATATAATGACCCCTTTGTATGAATTGATAAATAAAATAGGAGACAAATTGGGTGATAGTCCACCTTCGAGAGCTATGAGTGCAAATCTGAACGATATGGAAAATCTAGGTGGGAATGGAGTTTTTCCCCAAAACTTAGGTCGACCTCATAGGATCCCTGATGATAACCTAGATCAAATTGTAGAAAGGGTACTAAACAGGCATGGTTTTGAGGTAGGTTGAAATGAACGTCCCTATTTCGTGT